ATAAGCCAAAATGTTCTTTCAGTTGACAGTCTTTTAACCATTCATCTACTCTAACTTTACCATAACAGGGTCCATAATATAATAATCTTCACAAAAAGTACTGTGAAACACCACTCAATAGCTTATAAAACAAGGATTGCCACTTCATTTTAGTCATTGATTTGTCAATCAATTGATCATCGTTATTATTGGTCAAGTGGTCACTCAAACGCATAATGATTCGAAAGCTCACATCAATCACCCACCTATTCATTATAACAATAAACTCACTCCTTGAAATGACATTTTCTCACCCACCTATTCATTATAACAACAAACTCACTCCTTGAAATGACATTTTCTCACCCACCTATTCATTATAACAATAAACTCACTCCTTGAAATGACATTTTCTCATCCTACTCCTTGTAAACTATCAGATGTGCATTTTCAGCATCTTCCTTGTCACTAATTGAGAAGAGATCCTACAATACAGCGCTCTCATTAACAGAGTTAGTGTGTTCGTCTACCCTTAGCTACAAGAGTAACAAGTTCATCAGTAACATAGAGTGACTGCTGACATATTTACGTAGACCAGTTCAGCCAGAAATGAGTTGCTTACGCATTGGAGGCACTTAACATAGCTCAACTCAGTCATCAAGCTTTAACTTTCACTGTCACTGTTTAGTGGTAACCCTTCTTTTCGTGTATGTTCACATTACTAATCTCTAAACAAAAATTATGTGCATCAACCATTGTTCAATGCAGCTACTCCATGATGTGAACTTTGCAGCATATTTGCATTGGTTGGAGGGTTGTACGTAAGATCCACTGGAAGCTATGCTTCAAGTCCAAATGTCAGGAAATTTAGAAAACAAAGAGTTGACTATTCGCCATTTATTTAATGCACTACCATATACACATATAGTTAGTGCTTAACCCAGTCAGTTTGCACAGGGTTCACAAGCTTAAACTTAGCAGATTTCTGTTTCGCAGCATATCCTACCCATACAGTCAAAACCACGAGACTGGGAATGATATGGTAAGATGAATGTTTTCAAAAAACCCAACACGATTCCTCAACCATCTGGCTCCTCGATTCATGTAGATTACTCAAGATGATCAAGATTTATCCACTGTTTAGCCAACACATCAGCAATGGACTGGACTAGCACAATGATCAATGAGTAAGCTTCAGTTCATTTGGTGAATAATCGATTATAAGCTGCATACATCAATTACATTTCTTAGATTCAGGTAGAAGACCAGCTTCATCCAGAGTGATTTTTTCTAAGGAAAAACCTACAACTTTCTGCTAGAGTTTTCCATGAGGTGGTAAGTTTTTCCCTAGGAAACACATGTGATGCAGTTTCTCCACCATCTATTAATTTATTTACGTGAATACACACATAAAAATCTCTCTGCGTGTTTGTGATAGTATGTGAAATTCACTTTTGTCACCCAGTTCTTGCATTATGGTAAATTCAGAGCACTTAGACAGATGAGCGTTTGATCAAGTATTTCACACATTGGATCTAACATTATAGCAGATAATGATAATGCACTAGGCTGCAACATATGTACAGGGGAATCACTATTCACTTTTTGGGCCCAATGTGGCTTGACACTGAATGACTTTTTCTGAAAGCTGTAGTTCACCTGCAGCACATGAAAATTTTGTTGACAACTTCCACAGTAGTTCGATCCACAGGATAGCAAAGCCTGAGCCAAAATTGAAGATAACTAATTTTGTGTTTTTGTTTGTTTGGAGAGCAACATTGCCAATATAAAGCTAGAGATGTGCTTTTCCATTAATGTTTAGTTTATCATTTCAAAATAACGTTTTACAAAATGACTAAAATAGTGGCTTCACTTGCAGCACCTGATGCTCGACGAGGTTGAGCAGGTCTTAGTTATTTCAGTATCCACTAAAAATTCAATCTTACATCTACACATTGTTAGAGACTCACCCTACTTGATGCTAAGCCCATTTTTATCCAAACCAGCCACTCTAATATTGGGTGTAAGCTGACTGCTATGCTCCCCTGAGCTGGTAGCCAAATTCAACTTAGGCTTCAATAGCTTAAACCAGCATAAGCAGCTGCAGCAACAGCCTGCTGTTGGCCTTCTTGTATTTATTGTAGTATTTATCAGAATAGAACTTGCACCTACTGATTCTGTCTTGCAACGTCCAATACAATTAAACCAAAATTAAAACAGTGGCTCCATCTCATGTTTTTATAATGTGCCAAATTACAAATCATGCTGCATAGGTGGTGTAACCATTGCAACTCCACGGTTTAATGTGGTCTTATCAAACCAGATGTTGAAGCAGAATAAAAGACTAGCAGCAGTAGCTGATCCTGCTCTAAAACAACCTCAAGAGCCTATGATGACCTCCAATGCTTGACCAAAGCACTGACTAATACATCCACTGCTGCATATACCAAAACAAGTCATGGCTCACTGTAGAAGCTTACCAGGTCCTGTTATAGAAAGTACTTCAGTCAGAGATGAAAGTCCTTAAGATCTATATGGTGCCACAGGGGGGTTTGCTCAACATCCCTCTATAAACCTTGTGAATGACAGCAAAGGAAAAACGATAAGACAAAAGTGTACAATAAAAACAAAAATCCTTATTCTACACACTTCGGAAAAATAATAAAATTGCACTTTTTTATCTTTTGATCAGTTCTTAAGTATGTTACACAGAATTTTTATGGTTGCTGAAAATGGAGGGACATCTATTTGAAATGCAGGATCCACCAAAAATCATTATATATTACATTACTAAGTCAGACTGAAAGTTGTTATTGTAATATTCTACAATTATAGTTTACCTATATCAGCAAGCATTATATGTTCAAAAGATATAAAATCTCATCCTTCACTAACTTGTATTATGACCAGATTCTCAGCGTAGCAATAATTCAAAAATAGGGTCCAGCAAGTATAAGCTTTTAGAGGGTGACGGTTTCGGTAAGAAAGTAACCTTCTTTTTTTAGAAAATTATTAGTGCAAATTGACGCTGTTTCACGTGCTTTTCCAATGATGTCATTTAACTAAATGCAGAGCACCTGCATGGAAATTTTGAAAAAATTTAAATCAATAGCTGATTTCAAATATAGCAGATTTTCAAATGTGACAAAACAAATGATACCTAAACAGAATTGTTGGACAAGTTAAGAAATACAAACTTTAATAATTGCTGGGACTCTTAAAAGCAATTCACAATTCACGTATGTTGTTTTTTATGGTAGTTTTAAGAGATGTAGTGTTATTTTATGTTATACACATTTTTTTCCGTTCAAAATTATGCGTCACAAATGTGAAAAATTATAAGTGTTTACGAAGAATAGATTTACAGCTTGATGATATACCGATATGGCAATTGATTTTTTGCAGATGCAAACGGATCAGACTTTGGTCAGATGCAGGAATAGGATCTAATATTATGCTACTAGGATTGTGATAGATTACCTGATTAAATCTGAAACAAGAAATCACAGAGTTTATGGATTGACCAGCAAAAAGCTTTGTTTCAAATCCCACAGAACTCCTTTGAGATTTCTTTGATGCTATCGTTTTAATCTATAAACATTAATGACGTACATATATACTCCTAATTCACAGATGGAGGCAGATGGAAACATGTGCCTTTGTTAAAGAGAATGAATGTTGTAGATTTATATCGTGTTGCGTTATTGGTTTGTTTGTAATACCCGTGCATTTAATTCTATAGATTTAAGTCATAATTAAGAGAAACAAGCTACAAAAAAATCTACAAAGGCCAGTATATAATGTGTTTGAAAGCGGTCGATTTGAATTATTTCTAAAGATATTTAGGAAAAACAACGACAACAACAAAAAACTTTCAGCTGAGCGTGGCGGCTTTTTCTTAAAGTTCTTCCTCGATGCCGATTTTTTGTTGTTAAAATGATATAGATCTTTATTCGAAAAAAAAACAACACACACACACACACAACAAAAAAACACAGCTATATTTGGACGGAATTGCACGGAAGCTTTACTGTGGAACGGTTGCATCTCTCGGCTAACTACATGCGAAATTGGGAAATATTTCCAGCTGAATTTGCTTCAGAGCTTTTTTTTCCTCTCTCTCTCTCTGTCGCTTATTACTGAAAATTGAAGTTGGCCGTCGTTTGAAGCAAACCTTCTAATCTGCAATTTTTCACGACCCATCACTATCTTAATTAGCATAAAGCAACTTCTGAAAATATCGTAAGAGAAATAATATTTGGAACGATTTCTTGTATGAAATAATGTAAAATATTGTTTGAAATAGTCATTCTGTTTTCATGTTTCATCAAGGTTTAAGCAAATTCTTTTTCTAAAATTTTTATGGAGAAATGGGGTATTTTTATCCAAAAAAAGAATTGTATGCTCTTCTTACTGTAAATTTTGTTTCTGCTTCAAGAAAAAGTTCAATATTTTCGTACTTCTGTACATTGTAAAATGAGTATGATCTCTCATTCTGTCTAGCCCCCCAGTGGCACAGCGGTATGTCTGTGGACTTACAACGCTAGAATCCGGGTTTCGATACCCGTGGTGGGCAGAGCACAGATAGCTCATTGTGTAGCTTTGTGCTTAATTACAAATAAACATTCTGTCTGAAAAGTCACTGACTCTGATATGAAAAGTATCGCCCACTAAAACAACAATCAACGTTTTGTAATAACTTAGGAGATTCATGGCTGTATTGTGTATAAAGACAATATTACTCAAATTCTTTTAATGTATGTGACTCATTTTTGTAGACGATTATGCGGGACTATATTTCATATGTATATCAAGCACATTGCCATACGTACGCTTAATATTATTATAGATATATGTTGCTACAGACCTGGTAGGGTAAATAAATCTACCTATAAGGAAATAACTGTTTGGTCACGTGGCTCCTATTGTCCAATTGTGTATCTGTTCTGGCACGAGCCATTTAGAGTCGCTCTTCTCCCTGAGTTGTATGTGACAAGCGCAGAAAAACTTTTCATCAACAGCCGCCATATTAGATTGTTTCAGAGTTGTCGAGCGATATACGTTGGAAAGCTTTATGTGTTATTCTTCCTTTTGTATATGCTTATTATAGACCATTTTGACTGCTTTGTCGTGAAAGTGGATTACAAGAAAATGATAGCAATTTTGTACATATTAAGTAGTTAGTTAAACTAGCTAATGCAGCCCCTAAAGTTTGGTCCCCAAAGTCAAAGCGTCTGCCGACGCTCAGCCGATATACGTAGAATTACCACAGGCTACAGCAGTAACATCACACGGGCCGTAGCAGCCTAATGCTGTGGGTATGATGATGGAGGCGGGGGCTAGTTGGGATGCGGTAGAGACTATTAGTATTAAGACGTCAGATTGACGAAAAGTCGCCTGAAATCAGACATGTGCATTGCATAGTCTCATTTTCGAATACAGTAACGGTGTTTGAATTCTGTGACATGATTATTTTAGTGTGATTTTCATTTGATGGAACCTACACGAGCAAGTTAACCTACATTAAATTTTATCTAGTTAGGCTTGAAGTTTAATCTTAATTTATCGCAAACCCGAAAGTTAGTTAATACATTAGTACTACTAGGGTACTATTTCTAGTAGTACAACACTACAGTGCTATTAATATTGTGACAGTGACTGAGTAGTTTAGTTTAAGCCTACTCTAAGTTCTGTTTTATAAATTATTCTTGCTTGAGTATAAGTTATAACCCTATCTTGGGGAACATGGCTGATCTTGTAGACGGAAGACCACCAAATAAACGACAGAAATTATCTGAATCAACGCTTTCAGCTTCAGATGGTACAGGTAACTAATATAATAATAATAATTCTGTTAGTATTTAGCTTTTACTATTAGGCCTAATTTGTTTTAGGATAGGAAATCCTGCGTCAGTGTTTGTTACTGTTAGTTTAACACTGAGTTTTAAAATTTAAATATAAAATTGATAGCATACAACTAAACCTAGCTTATGTTTAACTTAGTTTAATCTTGGTAATGGTATAGAATATCAAAAGTGGTTGTTAATGAGTTTCAAGTTTTGATATAACAATTAGTAAATCTTAAAAGTTAAATAATTATTAGTATAAAGTATAAGAGGTATAGAGTAGAGCATGGTTTGACATACAGACAAACTACACTGGCCACTGAGTCTGGGGCTCATATGTTTAAATTAAGTGTAAAATTTGGGCCTTCCTGTGGAAATGACACTCGTTCATATTATTTTATTATTTATATGTTGCCATGCCATCACATGCCTGTTAATATTTGGTGTAATTTGTATGTATCATAACATAAATCAAGGTTAGTAAGTCTGATATTTGAACTAGTCTTAAGAAATTATAGTTAAGCATTTTATGTCGCATTCAGACATGCAACTATACCTAATGCTTATGTAGTTTGAAAAATTGCTTGCGATTTACCATTCAAGATCAACAGTATTTTACTATTATGTAAAAATACACAATATGCTCTCATAATGTCATTGTCAGCTGACAATGCATATAATATTAACAATTAAGGTTGTTTCATGTTAGAATAGTAACAATTACACTGCAAGGTCTTAGGTTTAAAATTTGAGTCTGCATCTTACGAGTTCAAAGAAATTCTTTAAATTTAATGTTGGACAACTTTGCCGACTATGTTTATTAAATGTCTTTTCAGTTTGTTGGCATTATGGGTATGATCTGTATCAAAGTATTTAATATTATAAATACAAAATTAATTTAATTGACAGTGTGAGTTTGTACCTTATATTTTTTCATGGAAATAGTGATATAATCTATATCAAAGTTATTGTTATTACAAAATTAATTTAATTGACAGTGAGAGTTTGTACTTTACATATATTAAACTTCTCTAGTCTTACTGGCTGCAAATGTTCTGAAAATGTCATATAAATTTATGATACCAAATGTTTTAATAATCATAAAATTTTAAACTCGATCAACTCTCCTCCAAGCCCTTCTTCTCTCCAGCGAAAATATACCAAGAGGTTTCATCCTATCTCCTTGCAATAACCCAGTTAATTCTGGAATGATTCTGGTAACTCTTTTCTAAACTTTTGTCTAATAATTTTGTATCTTTTCTTACATAAGAAACCAACGCTGAACAGTATTCCTAATGAGGTCTAACCAGCACCTTATTAAGAGTGAATTGATTACCTCCTTTGACTTATACTAAGTATTTCTATGTACACAACTAAAAAGTGTTTGCTTTATTACTAGCATACATTGTTCAGAAGGTTTTTAGAACCTTTATAGATTTTTTTTTCCTTGCCATTGTAACCTAGAACTTTGTCTGCAAGGTTATAAGAATAATGATTATTGAGGTAACCAATAAAGACTATCTTTTACTAAAATTATAAGGCATCATGCAGTTACTAGCCCAGCTTACTAAATAGTTCAAGTTTCTCTGTAAAACTTCAGAATCTTTAGTACATTTTAAAATACTCGTTAATATAATATCATCTGCTAATGTAACCATTTTACTTTTTATTCCTTTGTGTCATTAATAAAAATGAGAAATTGCAAAAGGATTAGCATAAAACCGTGACGTACACTTGTAACATTAATCCACTGTGATTACATCCCATTCATAACAATATTCTGTCTCCTTTCACCCAAAACAACTATCAGACTATTTAATTAACTTCTGCCCCAATAGATGCAATGTTCGTAAGACATCTCTTCTGTGGCACCTTAAACTTCCTGGAAATTCAAGTATGCCAAATGTATTATCTACTGCATTATACGTGTTCAGTTAAATGTGTGTGAGGCATGACATTCCATTTCTAAACCCACATTGTTTATTTGTAATAATATAAAATTTGTATGAATGTTCTTGTAGAATTTCATTAATTATAGGCTAATAATTTTCCAACCAATGAAGTAAGAATAACTGGCTGGTAATCACATGGACATTGTCTAACCCTCCATCCTTTAAAAACAATCTGACATTAGTTGATGTCTAATAATCTGGCATCTAATAAATCTTAATGGATTCATTAAGAAATAAAGTTAATGGCTTAAAAATCTGCTCTGTTGTTTTATTCAACATTAAACATAATTGAAATGTTAATACCAGGCTTCTTCAAAACAAAACAGTTTATTTGACCTTTCAGAAGTAAAAAACATTATACTGAGAATTAAAAAATGCTGGACCCGGATTTTTAGAAACACAACATTTAAATTTCAAAGAACATCCAACTCAATAATAAAATCTTGATATGACTTCAAAGCTGTTTCAACAATATATCCTTGACACAAGAAACTAGGAAAATGAACCAGAAAGATAAATACTAGCATTGGAAATTAATCACAAAATTTTGTTTTGTCTTTGAAATTAGGACATTAAGTCTGTGACAAAAAACTGCCACCATTATTGCATTAATCAAGACAAAACCATGGCAAGTGCCATTGTCCATTCTGAAGAGGTTCTTCTACTTAAAAACACTTAATACACAAGTGAGGTATAAGACAAACATCCTCACCAAGGTAAAAATCAAAAACTTAACATTAGGTTTTATATCAATTAAATATTTTTGGTGAAATCATAAAATTGTAGGAAGCTTTCCAAGTTAAACCTGAGGCATAAACTTTGTCATGTTGTGCTTAAATGATGTTCGCCAAAAAAAAAATACAGTGAAAGACTCCTAACAACTATGTTTTCAAACATCAGTATTCATCTTTTTATTTAAACAATGTAAAACAACTTATCTTTGCTCTGTATGAAGAAGTATTTTAAATGTCAAACTATTAAAACTGTATGTAGTTTAATAGTCTGTTTGTTCTGGTTTTGAATCACATTTAAATTAAAACAGAAGTTTTATTAGTTAATAATACAATATAAATGCTAATAAACAGGAAATTATCAATATTTTCAGAAATCATGTGAAATATTAAAATACACACTTGAAGTTAAAATTGGAAACTAGAATTCTAAGGTTACTTACCCATACTTTTTCCTTGATCTTTCCCCCCAGCAATGTACATATGTGGTAAAATTAGATGCCTTGCTTGTAATGGAACTTACAACTTAAAATTAGGCAAGATTTGTATTGCTTAATATTTTAGTTATTTATCAGCAGTTATATTTTTCTGTAAAATATTAGTCTTTGAAGTTATTCAGAAAATAATAATGAAATTAACTCTTACTTACTACTACTGATTACATAACAATTTTGTGCTTGTTATTGTTTTCATACTGTAACTTTTAATACATTATGCACATCTTCATGAAATTTTGCAGATTATCGGTAAATATTACAAGGCTTTCGTACACAAAATATCAGATTTTTTTTATTAAATTTTAAGGTTTTTTTAAGTAATGATTTGCTTGTGCATTTTTCTCTTTTTGAATGTTGATTTAAAGAATAAAAATGCTTTTATGCATCAGAAAATTTTTAAAGTTTACATGCGAAATTGTTATAACCTCCAGGTAATTATCAAATATTTTTTTTAGAAAAACTTTATACACTGTTATTTTCACTATTTTATCTCTGTATGGGTTTGGTCGATTTGACCAACCTCGTAACCACCATAAAAAATTAGGAAATATATATAAATTATGCCTTTTTCATTCTAGAATGACTACAAATTATAACACGAAACCACAAATGTTTAGTCTAAATAGCTTAAAGCTCATAACATTATACATCTATATATATTTATTATTTTTAATTTATTTACCTTTCAGCTCTGTCCGACTAACATTACAGAAATTGCAATGATGCGATGCATGTACACTCGTGTTAGAGTAGCCGGTAATATAAAACTGGCCTTTACAAAGTGACATGTCTTGGCTTTGTTCTAGTGGACCAGTATTTTGCAAAATATAGTCACATTTTAGTTATAATACCATACATATGTATATATATTATTACTATTTACAAACAAGTTCTTAAATTTCAGTTATTTTTCTTAAACTATAGAACAGTAAATAAAGAAGTATAGAAAATGATCTTTTCTAGTTACAAACTGTGAAACAAAATTTTTTCAAGTTTTATAAATGCATCTTGAAATAACAAAAAAATCATTAAATACTATATCAGTACTGTAGAATTCCACTGTTACTTATTAGGCTTAGTAACTAAGCTGTATTTGGGTCTAAAAAAATATGATATTCCAAGCTCCATTATCTCCTACCTTTCCGCTTTGATTCTATAATGAAAAGGAAGGTTTTCCTGTGTAAATACTTTGTAGAGGCTGAGAAAATCACATGCAGGAAATTCTGAGCTTTCGATTGGTTATACACACATCACAGGGCAAAGTAGGTGTACATAACCATAAATTTCCTAAAATGGAAGAGTTGGTCAGTGCCACCTTGGTTGATTCAGTAGATATAATAATACCTCAGAAAATAGAAAAGAGGAGGTTTTTATATTATATTCTAGCTTGTCAATATCAGTAATTTGAATTTCTAATTTGTAAGAACCTATAGATTTTTGTATTTGGACATTATAAACATCTCATCTGAACCAATGCTGTATTCAACATACCATGTGATACACAAAAATCCATATTTAGGATTTTTTTAATATTTAATTTTAAATTGAGAAATTAACTAATGTATAATACTAAAATTTAAATTATAATCCAAAATTGAAACCAAACTTATTGACATATGTTCATAAAATAATATTCAATAAAATTTTGAATGTAAGTCTACAAATGTGACGACATGCCCTTTAACCCCTGACCATAGGAAGACCCATTGAGATAGGGTTAAAGAGAAAAATGTTTTCTAATTTGTTTCCTTGTATATATTTTTTTTTTACTATCATACATGACAGTTATCATAAAATGCCA